AATGAACAATAAAGGTGGGACTCTGCAGACTGTTAGGGTTCAGCCTCCTGATGAGTCGGTGAAACTCCGACGAAACAGTTTGTCACAGCCCCTCGTTTGTTGTCCTCTTCTCTCTCTCTGCCTACGGTTTTACCGGGCAGTTCTGTTTGTGTCGATATATATATGCTGGCTGTTCTGTTTGTAACGATATATGCTGGCTGCACTCGACTTCGACTCTCTACAACGCTACCCTACGCTACTGCACGACTTCGCTTGCCCTCGACCTCGACTATCTACACTACATATGAAGCTAATAACATGACCGAGCATAAGGTGGCGCAGGAGAAGCAAAGGGGAAGGACGGCGGGAGAAAAAGAAAAAGATGGAAAAAAGGGCAGATGATACCGGGAGGAGGAGGTGGAGGAGACCAGCGGCAGCAACACGGGCAGCGGGAGGTAAGGGCGATGGAAAAAAAAGACGGACGCGAGTTTCAACGGCCGAGCGCACATGCCGCATAACTACAACCAAGGGGCGCGGGCGCATGAGAGAGAGAGAGAGAGAGAGAGAGAGAGAGAGAGAGAGAGAGAGAGAGAGAGAGAGAGAGAGAGAGAGAGAGAGAGAGAGAGAGAGGTTCAGAAAGGTCATGTCATATACGCAGGATGGGGGGGGAGGTAAGGGGTCTCGCAACATGAGAACGCTTAGGGAAAGAGGGCAGTTTGGAAGGGTCATGTTCATATATGCGGGAATGGGGGAGGAGGGGGCATGGGGGAAGGTAGAGGGTGGTTGGGGGTCGTGAAGTTGCAAAATGCTTTCCACTTGACGGACGTGGGGAGGAGGACGAGGCGGAGGATGAGAATGGCAATGACGTGGAGGAGGGCGATGGCAGGGGAGGAGCCTAACTGAATATGATAGGCTTAGTCCCATATGCAGATCGTGTCAGGTCCCACTCTATTCCAGGGAAGAATTTGTGTATCATGCTTCCAAATACACAGATCAGCAGTTGAGGAGTAACTGATTTCCAGTACAGCCAGAGATTAATCAGATTTCAGCCAAGTTTATTACCAGGCTCATACCCTTGCATTCAACTTGCTGTTATTCTAAGCACCAATAATATGGTTTTCAGGATTTTGCTGGCTATCTATAAGCTGATCACCAGGCTGATACCCTGGCACTCAGCTAGCCAACAGTTATTGGTAATCTAACCAACAACCAGCAGATTTTCAGAGCCTGATTGATTGCCTAAAAGTTTATTACCTGGCCAAAACCCTCGCATTCAACTAATCAGTCTAATATGATAATCACGCCCTAACCCTCTAAGACGCTCGGATCTTCGCATTCTCCACAACTAGGGAAGTTTAATGATCCTGGAGCTAGTAACCCTGCAACCATTTCGATTGGTAGGACTGTTGGGTAGCTTGTGGGTCCTCGCTCCCCGGGAGGGTAAGAATGCAATAAATCGCAGTACCCCAGTGGGACTGTAACTGTTTTTGCTGTTTCCTCGGCTTGGGCCTTGCGGGTACACTAATTGTGTTTTTGCTGTTTCCTTGGTTTGGGCCTTGCGGGACTTGATCCCGTGACCTGTAATTTGTACGTTCGGTTTGTTAGATTTGAGCCTTATTGGGCTTGAACCTGACCCTGTTGCTAGTAGTCTCTACTTTGTAGTCTTGGGCCTTTCAGTCTTGTTGTTTTGTCTTTTTCTGGCCTGTAGGTCTTTCTTTTGTGTGTCCTAGCCTTGGGCCCCCTTAGTCTAGGTTTCCATCTAGATGCGTGTAGGTAGATCTTGACTGTTTGGCCATAGATGTTTGCTGTTTGGACGGTCAGATAGGTCTGTAGGTGGCTGCTGTCTTGTAGGTCTAGGAAACTCGGGTAGAGGTAGGCAGAGGCCGGCGAGTTTGGGGTTCTTTTGGTTCTTTTGGTTGCTCTTTGTTCACGGTCTTGGTGAAGGTCGTGTTGCTTCGCTGCTGCGATATTGTGGCCATGTACTCAGGGCATCTTCTCCACATGTTGCTGGCGGCCATAGCTGGGGCCGGCCAGCTCCATTGGTGACAGCGCTGGGCTCGGCACCCAAGTGCCGATGAGCGCTTCTTCGTATTCGTGTGCTTGTTGGGAAGGCAGCTGCCACCGAAGCGACTTCTGCACGTCTTTTTCGAAGTGGCAGGCCTTCATCTTCATCGAGTTGTTCTTCCTGTTTATCCCAGGATCTGCGCTCTCCTGCTGAGTGGACACTTCATCTGCAGTGGGCCTTTTTGAGTGGTGTAGAGAGGGGTGTTGAATTTAGGAGGGTGTGTGGCGATTGGCAGGCTTGATAGGTTGGGTGCTTGTAAGCACCATAGCTAGAGTTTGAAGATGAGTGAGGAAGAAGAAGACTCCCAGATACTTTGATGAAACCCTTTTAATAATTAGTCCATGGGTGTTGATAACGTGGCTGGGTTCCTTGAAAATTTGTGCTGTTGATCGACTTGGGGAGAGACAGTAATTAGAATTGATTTTCATTTCAATTCTATTTTCGGTGTTTGTGTGCTTCTGCCGTGGATTCTTATCATCCAGTGTGGTGTGGATTGCTCCCTTCAAAGGTCGCTTGTCATTGCACGTGTATGGGAATGTGTGGATGCCATGTTGGATCTCGTTTCAATCAACAGCACAAATTTCCAAGGATCCCAACCACGTTATCAACACCCACGGACCAATTATTTACACGGTTTCATCAAAGTATCCGGGAGTCCTCTTCTTCCTCCCTCTTCCTCGAGCTCTAGCTATGGTGCTAGCAGCACCCAACCTATCAAGCCTGGCAATCGCCACACACCCTCCTAAATCCAACACCCCTCTCTGCACCACTCATGAAGCCCACTGCATATGAAGTGTCCACTCAGCAGGGGAGCGCACTTCCCAGGATGAAGAAGAACTCCAACTCGATGAAGAGGAAGGCCTGCGACTCCGAAGAAGACGTGCAAAAGCCGCTTCGGTGGCAGCTGCCTTAACCCCAACAAGCACAGTGCTCATCAGCACTTCGGTGCCGAGCCCAGCGCTTTCACCAATGGAGCTCGCCAGCCGCAGCTATGGCCGCCAGCATGTGGAGAAGATGCCCTGCGTACATGCCCACAGTAACGCAGCCGGGAAGCAATGCAACCTCCGCGGAGACTGTGAAAAGAAAACTCCCTGATGCTTCCAATCAGGCACATAACACACACACATGCACACACCCACACACAGGTAGTTTTTTAGTGGATGGGTTTTTTCCTTAAAGAAAAAAAAGAAAAACAAAGTGGAAAACATTCCTGCAACTGGGAAGAATTGCATTAGTTTTCAACATCTGAATGAGAATACTTTTGCCCTGAGAGATAGATATGCTGACAAGGTATTAGATGTGTTTTTTTTCCGGACAGAACAAGCCTGTTGCAACTGCATTTAGGCCACTACACTCGTGATGCGATGTGCTTTTATTTGCGTAATGTCCACCTTTTTTTGCGGGTGTTGGGTTCAGCCTCCTGACGAGTTGGTGAAACTCCGATGAAACAGTTTGTCACAGCCCCTCGTTTGTTGTCCTCTTCTCTCTCTCTGCCTACGGTATACCGGGCAGCTCTGTTTGATGATACATATGTATCCAAACGCATCACTAATTTGTGCATGGCACATGGCGCACTTGCACCGCACGGCGCACCGCAGAAGTGCGTGCAAGTGTTTTTTTTTTTTGAATTCACAACAAGCCAAAAATCAACAACAGGGCCCGTGTGCAGGGTCAACATGTAACCCTTCGCCAATGGAATATGGCTGCAGTTACGGACACATCGATCCAAAGAGTGATCATGTCATCAGATAACGTGTGGTGTTAGTGGGAATGTAATCAGATAGTGAGTGTGAAACTCACATCCTCATGGATACAGCAGTGCGAAAGGGCTAATACCCATTTGGAAACAATGTAAAAAAAAGAAATTAACTTATAGATTGGAAAAGGAAAAATCATTCGTACTACCAGTCTGAGTCAAGGCTACTAGCAGATAGATGAGAGACTTGCTTCATATTGTTATTCTGTTGTGAACATGGCAGGTGACTCTGTGGTAGTAGATGTATTGTATTGCGTAGGAGATGAGAACAAGTGGACACCTTTGGCCGTGTTGCTGACTGATGTCTCTCTATTGTCTGTCTTTTTGTCTTGGCTCTGTACAATTGTTGAATGCGATTGTCTGAGTAAATTTTCTTGTCAACGTGGTTGGCTTGGGGCTGGTTGTTTGATGCATGCGTGCATCTGCTGCAGGTATTGTCTGTGTTGGAGGTGACGGAATTGTTAATGAGGTGAGTGGGGTGGGTGGTTGCCTGCAGTACAGGGACTTTAGGTTCTGGCTCTTGCAGTCTTCACTGGATGCAGGGTTTCTGCTGGGATGGTTCTTGGGGATAGAAAGGAAATATGATTCGTATCAAGCACAAATATGTTGTTGCGGGTTTGGTACTGTCTATAACCAGGGGGGACAGAGAATACTGGCAGAAGGAAAATCAGTTTTTGCCATGAACTGATCAATCAATCAATCGATCAATCCATTCAATTCATCAGTCAATCCACTGGCCAATTAATTAATCAATCAGTCAATTGGTTGATTGGTTGTTTGATCGATCAGTTCGTCAAAGGGAATTGAGTACCCGATTGATTGATTAGTCCACTGATTGATTAGTTGACTGATTGATTGATTTGTTATGATCCTGGCCAATTTTGAGATACACATTCATCAGATAATACAATGCTGTCCAATTGCAGAAAGAAATGCATGAGCTTGAGAGGAGAGAGAAGGTTAGAAGAAGAAGTAAGAAAGAAGAAGAAGATGATGTACACCAGCATAGACAAATGATATAAGCTCTTCTTCTTCGCTCAACTCTCTCTTCCTCCTTATCTCCTCCTCGCTTATTCACACAAGAATTAATAATACAATGTTGAATAGCTGAGCCAGAATCAAAGTCCGAATCCCTCTTCTACTGCAGGTATCACTTGAGGTCCACCATAGCCATGGCCGCCTCTCCTGCTCTTCACTCTCATAGGCCGAGGCTATGGCGGACTACTAGGCCTTGCCCAGATGCCCAAAGGACAACCCAAAGCAGCTATGGCTGCTCTAGCTCAGGCCGCCATGCCTGACCCTGCCTCGAAGCTTCTTGGTGTAGCTCAACCCCAGCTGGGGCCTTCCTGCTGCAGCATCCACCAAGGTGATGAAGATGGCTGCCACCATAGCCAGGTACGTACCTCTGGCCCTCCCCGTTCCTGTCCTTCTTCCTCCTCTGAGACCTTGCTGCTTCCCCAGCAGCGCTGCTCCAAGCTAGCGCTCCAACCAGTGTGTCGCCAAACTTGCACACCGACAATGAGGCTGGGCTCTTCGCCCGGCCTGGAGATATAGCGGCCTGCTTGCCTCTTGGCTGGTGACTTCCAGTCCGCTCGGCCTTCCCAGCAACCGGTACCTCCTCCCTTTCGGAGGGAAACATCATTGCAGACTCTGATATTGCCCGAACAGGCCCTAGACTCAGACTAGTTGGACTGGTACCCGCCTAGACCTAGTCTAAAACTACTGGGCCTCTCAAAATGCCACTTTTGTCTTCTTCTGGTCGGCCTGCAGTACCCGCACATCTACCTCTTCAGGGTGCGGTAATGGCCTACCTGCTACTTGAGTGTTTTCCCTCGCTGCAATCCCTCAATGTCACGGCCACAGGTAAGTACCGCTCCTGAGGGCCCAACGAACGAACAAGTGCCCTTACGGGCCACGCACACACTCAAGCCCACCAGCACTCGGACAGACATGCAGTCCAGCAAGCGTGCACACACACAGACTTAGTAGCAAGCGGGAAACTCAGCAAGGCATTCAGTCCATGAGCAAAACTCAGAAATCAGCCGTGTGTTTCAGTCCATGTTTGGTCGGGTCATCACACTACTCCCCCCTCAAGAGAGAGGTCCCTTCGAGCGAGTAACTCATTCTGAGTCCCCGACAAACGCATCGTAGGCAAACAAGGCAAAGAGATTTCGAGAATGCTCTCTCGCAGTGAGCTTGGCAGAGATTTTAGGTGCATCATTAGACGCGATTTGTTGCTCGTAGGCTTTAACAACGCGCGGTGCGCTGTGCAACAGTTCCTGCTTGGAAATCCCTACACTATTAAAATCGCTAACGTGACAAATCTGAAATCCGGGCCGTCGTCAATCCTGCTGGCCCACGAGCCAGTTCGACCGAACCATGTAACAAATCTGCCATCTGGGCCGTCGGGTCCTACCAGACCGACAGCCTGGATAGATGCGGTCTTAAGATCTTAGGACCGCGCCGAGATCCATGCCGTCGGTCCGGACCGACGGCTCAGATAGACGCTCCGTGGAGTGCCGTGGGGTACTATCGGGAGTCAAGTGGCGTGGGCTCAGATAGACGCGCCGCAGAGTGCCGTGTAACTACTTTTTGGTGGCGGCGCGCACGTTTTTGTGGTGTCACGGGCAAATTCCACGGCGTGGGAAAGATGGACCCCTTCGCTACTCTTCGACCCCTACGCTACTCTACGCTCGACTTCGACTTTGTGGCGGCACGGGCAAATCCCACGGCGTTGGAAAGATCGACCCGTACGCTACTCTCCGACCCCTACGCCACTCTACGCTCGACTTCGACCTTACTACTTCACTCTGCACTGCCGCGCTCGACTTCGACTTTACTGCTCGACTCTACACTACCACGCTCGACTGCCACTTCACGTGTCTGGCACACACACACACACACACACACACACACACACACACACGAGACATGGTGAACCCTTATCCATCAGCCAAATTCATCCCGGGCAGACTGTCGGGGTTCAACCTCCTGATGAGTCGGTGGAAGTCCGAGGAAACAGTCTGGCTTAATTGTGTTTTTTTTATGGAGTTGTGTATAGCGAACATAACGACACACACACATGCACAAACACACCAGAGAGAGAGAGAGAGAGAGAGAGAGAGAGAGAGAGAGAGAGAGAGAGAGAGAGAGAGAGAGAGAGAGTGTGTGTCTGGGAGCGCGAGCGAGCGAGAGTGAGAGAGAAAGAGAGAGATAAAGAGAGAGAGAGAGAGAGCGAGAGAGAGAGAG